ATTTCTAACCAGCACACAGCTCTGGACACAGCTGTGCCCCTGTCTGTCTCTCTGACTCAGTGCAGAGAAGTGGTCTGCTCGTGTGTCAGCCAGGTGGCAGTTCGATCTCTGACAGAGACAGGAGGAGGGGCGTGTCTTTAATGCTGTGTGTGTGCTTGTCTCTTCAGGTCCTCCCTGACAGAGCTGGAGAGGGGCATCCAGGGACTGGTCGTGATGTCTGCCAGCCTGGAGGAGACCTTCAACTGCATCCATGACGCCCGCGTGCCGCCACTGTGGGAGAAGGTGGGAAAGTGGTCACTCCGAGCCGGCACCCAGACTGCCGACATCTTCCGCTTCAGGCTTCACCAGGCCTCTATGTGTTTTGCTTTGCTCTTCCCACTACACTTCACTATGCTTTCACTGTACTTCACGACATCCTCCTCAGCTTTTACCGTGATTTTAGTTTACTTCACTGCGTCTTTACTATGATCTCGGTGCACTTTGCTACTGTACATCCCAGTCGGCCTTGGACCAGTGCAGGGGCTGCGAGAGTCATCTGGACTGGTTGGGTGCCCCAGAGGGAGCTGGGAGTAGGAAACTGCATGGATTTTCAGGACAGTGCACAGCTGCTCCTGGTGGTGGCTCATGTCTGTCTGTTTCCTTTCTGCTCAGGCAGTATAAGAATTACAGCCTTGTGAATTCAAAAGAATTACACCCAAATGAAATGAAGTGAAAGTTGAATTATACTGAATTATAAAAACAAAGAATCACACACACTCAGTGTGAGTAGACAAGAAGTAGGTGATTTACTTATTAAAAGGTTTTGGAGCAGTCATTTACAGTGCAATCCAAGTGCCAAATGAAAAAACTAGACACATTCTGCATTTGCAACAAGCTTTAAATCTTGTTTAACAAACCGCATCTTGTTTAACAAACCGCATCTTAAAAAGCACACGCGTCTTTAAATTGGAATTAATAACGGTAGCACAACAGATACCATTTCCCCGATATCAGGCGATCGATTTTTCTGATCATTCCTCTGCATAAATAAAGAGGTCTTTAAATAACATCATACATAAGAAATGTATTGATGTTGTTCAGTTGTTTTCTTCTTTCTTTAGTTTGTTTTTAATCAATCCTAAATGTATTAAATATATTATATGTATTGCTTTTATTTCTCATTGTCTCTGTATGTCTTAAGCAGTCAGGTTGCACTTTATTATTGTTAGTTTTACTGCACATTTAAAAAAAACATTATTATTGTTTAGTCTTTCCACCTTTTTAATTGTGATCAGTTCTATTTATTGACCTTCTAGGCTGTTCTGTTTCACTAGTGGTAATGTGCTTTGAGATGTTTGGTTGCAGACCTCTCTGCATGAAGCAAACGACTTGTTACTGCTGTGTTTGTCCTGTGCTGATTACAGCAGGCCGCCAGGAGGGCTGGAGTATACTATGAGTATACTCATTTGCTCTGTCTTAGCTGCGTGCCTCTCAGCTCTCCACTTCAAAGAGGGAAAAAGTTCAGGATTTGCTTCCGATTGTTTTTACAAGAGGGGGAGGGCTTATGGAATTATTTGACCTCTTGCTCTTTGTCTATATATTCCTCAATGTCTCTCTCCTCTCTTTCTATCAATGTATTCCTCCTTCTCTCTTTTTTCACTCTTTCCTGTCTCTTTCCTCTTTCTCCCACTTTCCTCTTTTCCCCTCCTCTCTCTCACTCTTTCCCCTCTCCCTCCTCTCTCTCACTCTTTTGTGTCTCTCTCTCTGTCGTTTGTTCTTTCCCTCTCTTCTCCCTTTCTTTCTCACTCAGTTCAATTCAAGATGCTTTCTTGGCATGGCTGATGAATTATGGTGTTGCCAAAACATATACATGTACAATTAACACAACATCTACAGACATTTACAATACACATCGTAAGACATTTACATACGACATATAGAACATTATTGCGAGACGTTCTCTCTGTGCTTGTCTCTCTTGCTCTTCTTTTATTATGGAATCATACAGTTCAGCTGACCACACTGACTGCTGGCATCCAAAGACATCCAGGTCCTGTGCATCCATAGTCCACATGTAACCCTGTCCCTGCCGTATTAAAATGAATACCACCAGACAAGCCCAAGACCGTTTGATGTACCTTGGTGCTCCATTTTGTGCTTGGTGTTTTCTTCAAGCTGCTGTACCCCTCTCTGTGTTGGTGTTTTTCTCCATGTGACATATGCAGCCCATGTAGTTTCTCATCTCAACCTTATTATCACCTAAAACCACGAGTCCTCCACTGAGATTCAGGAGAGAGATGGTCAGTAGTGATCAGTAGTGATCAAGGCAAATGTGATTCTCCGATCTCACGAGGCGATGAGCCAGCAGATACCAGTGCACGTGCCTGCGTGACCCTGCCCTCCTCCTCCTCAGGCCTACCCCTCCCTGAAGCCTCTGGCCTCCTGGACGCGGGACCTGGTGCAGCGGGTGCAGCAGTTCGCCCGCTGGGCGGAGACGGCCCACCCCCCGGCGCTCTTCTGGCTCTCGGGCTTCACCTTCCCCACGGGCTTCCTGACGGCCGTGCTGCAGGCCTCCGCACGCCAGAACAGCGTGAGCACTGCCATGCACAGCAGCACTGCCTTATACTGCATTGTACATGTTCAGTGTTTTATACAGTGCCATGCCGTTATCCTTTGGAGTACTACATGGTGCAGTACAGCTCAGTATATTGCAGTGAAACACAGTCCATAGCATGACAGTTTACTGCAGTATTGTACTGTTTTGCAGTCTAACAGTCTAACTGTTCAAAACAGTGTTGCACCACAAACTATGATGAAGTATCCCTTTAACACCCAGTAGTTATAGTAGTGTGCAGTGACACTTAGTAGTTACAATATAATACAGTACAGTTCAGTAAAACATACTGTGGAGTACTACTCTGTCTCTGTGCCAGTGATCTTTGACATTGTCCTGGGTGAGTGCTGCACGTGTCAGAATTTCCTCTTGTTTGTGTTTCAGGTGTCAGTCGACAGTTTGTCCTGGGAGTTTGTGGTCTCCACAGTGGATGACAGTAACCTGCTCTTCCCGCCCAAGGTGAGTTTGTTTAGGCCTGGTCTCTTCTGTGAGGCACAGAGCTGTAGGAGCATGATCTGCTGTTTCACATGCGCTGCCCCTCTCCCTCATCCTCACACTGTTTATCTCCCTCTCCTTATGTCTCTCTACCTTCTGCTGTGTTTCTTTAAGGACAGGGCATTTATTAAAAGTCTGTGCCTGGAGGGATTATTAGAGACAATTTCCTGGAAAGCTCTGTTACTCTCTCATATCATCACTCTTCCCCCTCCCTCTCTTATGCTATTTTTGAGGGCTGTTCCTTGAAGGGACAATCCACCCACCTCTTCCTCTTTCTCATACATACACTGTCCCTGTCTCTCTGGATGGGGCTGTTCCTGGAAGGGACAATCCCATGCACTCCCTCTGCTGCCTTTCCCTCTGTCTCTCAGGACGGCGTGTTTGTGAGAGGGCTGTTCCTGGAGGGAGCTGGCTGGGACAGGAAGGGCTCCTGCCTGGTGGAGGCCGAGCCGATGCAGCTGGTCTGTCCCATTCCCACCATCCACTTCAAGCCCGTGGAGAACAAGAAGAAGAGTGGCAAGGGTGAGCTTAATCCCTCTCTCCTTCTGCCCTTCTCGCCCTCTCTCTCTCTCTCAAGGTAATTCAAGGTAATTCTGTTGTTATTAAAACAAATTGTGTTGTGCTGTCTGTCCAGGGATGTATTCCTGCCCCTGCTATTACTTCCCTAACCGGGCCGGGGGCGCAGGCCGTGCCTCCTTTGTGGTGGGAGTGGATCTTAAATCTGGTGCTGTCCCACCAGACCACTGGATCAAGAGAGGAACTGCTTTGCTGATGAGCCTGGACGCATAGGAACTACACCCCGCGATCCCACTACTAACACAACTGCAGACTACCAAAACCCCCACCTCGCACTGCTACACACATCCACAATCGCAGTATTGACACCAATAGAGACTACCACTATACCAGGCCAGCGCTCACACCCATACAGACTACCACAATCCGAACCCTCATACAAGTGTAGACTACCACAGTCCCACTCTCACATCACTACAGCCTTTCCACAATCCCATTGCAAACAATACAGACCACCACAGTCCCAGTTCCCACCAGTACAGGCTACCAGTCCCCTAGCTCCTAGACTCTTATAGATAGTATTTCAAAAGCTATGGATTACTGCAGGTGGCTTGTATGTTAAAAATACTGATGTAAAAGATATTTTATTACCATAAAGATATGTAAATAACATTGAAGAGAAGGTACACAACATGAAATAAATTTTATTCTGCATTTTGTGTCTGAATGGGACTTTTTATCTTTGCGGTTGCTTTTCATATTTGTTCTGTTCTGGTTGTGCGACACTATAAAGCTGTCAGATGTTCTGTGTTTTTTTTAAGTGTTTTTTTATTCATTCTGATTCACTTGTTGTTTTGAGCGTGTGAATACTGTCACTTGAAGCAGGTCATTCATAGATATCACCTTACCTAAAGACGGTGGAACATCCACCCCAAGATCACAGTTCATTTCTAATCTGGACTATGAGCCCGGAATCACCCCCACTTTCCCGTGAGCAGGCAGGGTGTGCTCCTGAGCCTTACAAAGTGGGCAGGGTGTCACAATTGCCCTGAGACAATAGCATGTATTCAGAGCCCTGTACAGAATATTTGGTGGGAGCACCACTGGCAGCCATTACAGCTGCAAGTCTCCAGCAGCTTGCCCCTGATTGACTTCACTCTTCTCAAAGACATCTTGAGGGTCTCAAATCTGTGCCTTTCTACAACTTTACCCCTTGTTGTTTCAAAAGTGCTCCTTGGTTTTCATGGTTGAAGCTTTGCTTGAAATCCACTACCTGAGTGAGAAACCTAACGGAGACTGGAGTATTTATCCTGTAATCATGTGAACCACTATTATTGCACACAGACAGAGGTCACTCAGCTAATCGTGTGGCTCAAGAATGTACAGTAAGTGTGTGTACCTAAGTTAATTGTGGTTTGCCACTGAGGAGGGTTTGAAAAATTATGAGATCATGACTTTTCTGTTTCTATTGTTATTTTATACGCATATGAATGGCATCATGTACGGATATAATTCTAGATATATAAAGACACCGTAAATATCTTACTGGGTCAGTATGTACACATGCATACATTTCTCTATGTATATGTGTATGTTTATAAATGTTGGCATGTGATGATCTGCATTGGCCTTTCTGTCTGTTGGTGCTGCTCTCTCCTGCATTGTAAGTGTGTGTAAATGTGACATGTTCTTGCCCTTGTACATGCAAGACATCCTATCGGAGCACAATTTGTCACCACATTTCCAGCAGGTCAGAGCTTGCCTGTGAAAGGGGAAAGATAACCACTAAATTTATGGGTCTGGTTTTTATTTTTAGTTTTTGAGCTTTTTAGTGAGGGGGTAGTTCTGCAGGTGTTTGTCCTGCCAGAGAAAAGATAGAGAATAATTATGCAGGAGGGGGAGAGGGAGAAGAAAAGCTTTGTGGTTCTGAAGAGCAGAAGGGGAGATATAATGCCCCACTCTGGAAAAAAGGAAAAAGCAGAGGAAAGGAAACAAGCAGCCTCCATCCAGGACTTTGTTCAGCTCCCATTCTTCTCCTGTAAAAGATCCTGCCAATTACTGAGAGACAGGTTTATTTACTGGACTGGTTCCCCTTGTGATGCTGGGTGGGGTTACTGGAGTTCACATACGTCCTCTTCTCAAAACCATTGCCAGAACTGTAAGTTCATTTGAATTTTTCCACATCCTCTATATTTAAAAGGTGTTAATCACTTAGCGTGCAGGGTCTCTACTGCTAGATCCCAGGCAAGACCTCCTCCAAAGAGGCAGAGCTCTAACTCATTCATACCCGACCCCTCCTCTGAAGGTGTGGCACTCAGGGACTGGTTCGGGCCCGACCCCTCCTCCGAAGAGGCAGAACTTATTGACTGGTTCAGGCCTGACCCCTCTTCTAAAGAGGCAGAGCTCCGTGACTTGCTGAGGCTTGACCCCTCCTCCAAAGGGGTGGGGCTGAGTGACTGGCTCTGGCTTAACCCCTCCTTTGAATGGGCGGAGCTGGGTGACTGGCTATAGCTTGACCCCTCCTATGAAGGGGCGGATCTCACCAAAGATGGACGAGCACCAGACTTCTAATGGTTTGGCCAACAACATTGTGATAAGTGTTACTACTACAGTTAGTACAGATCCTACTGTTACTGCCACTGCTAGTTACTGTAGTCTACTTATACTACTCTAATTACTGCTGCTACTGTTATTGCTGCTGCCAGTTACTACTACTGTTAGTACTAACTGTTGCTGCTACAGTTATTACTACAATTAGTACAGCTGCTACAGTTACTACAACTGCCAGTTACTACTGTTACCACAGCTACTACTGTTAGTTCTAGTTACTTCTGCCGCTACAGTTACCATTGTTATTACTGCACTACTGCTGCTACTATAGTTACGGCTGTTATTACTGCTGCTACTGTTATTATTGCTGCTAAAGTTACTGCTATCTAACTCTATCTGCTATCTAACTCCATCTGCAGTTACTGCTGCTAGTTACTACTGCTACTGCTGTAATTACTGCATCTAATGTTACTACTACAGTTACTACAGCTACTGCGGTTACTTCTGCTGCTTCTGTTACTACTACAGTTACTACTGCTGCTGTTACTACAACTTTCTGTTACTGCAGCTATTTTTACTACTACTGCTACAGTTAGTACTACTGCTGTTACTACCTTCACTACTGCTTCAACAACTAATAATAAGAACAGAAAAATAAGAACGAGAGGAGGTTCTTTACACAAAGGGTGGTAGGTGTATGGAACAAGCTGGGTAATCATGTGGCTGAACCCAGTTTCTTGGGATTCTTTAGGAAACCTCAGGGGTGAGATCCCCAGATCAATAAGCTGCTGACTGTGAGCAGAGGTTACAGTGGGGATCTGCGAGGGAACACAGAAGGAAGACGAGCACGGTGTTTCAGCTGTGGAGCCTCTTCAGGTGTGTGGAGGAGGGGCTGAGGTTGCAGGAGGGGGGGGGGGGTTGTTGATTCCCTGTGCAAGAATGGAGACAGAAGTCATGGCACGCTGTGTGCATACTGTCCTGCTGGAGCGGTACTGCAGAGAATGCTCTTAACAGGACATCTGCTCCCTCCCCTGGTGATTACAGCTCCTACACGTCTTGACATCGGTTCCACAAGGCTTGGTAGGTTCTTGCTAGCTGAGCCTGAATGGCGCCTCCTGCTGGTGTTTGTTTCCTCCTGCCGCCCACTGCCCGTACACTCTTGACCCTGTCTGAATTGACGCGTGAGCCGGGTTTGCTGTTACCTTCATCAAACAGGCCAGTGGCAGGCGCACGGGCAGCTCTTGTCGCTTCTGTCGGCCTTCTGGTCCCCCGGCACAGCACCCTCGGAGAAGGGGGTCTGGTTTACTACTGCTGTCCGGACCCCAGTAGTCGTGGGGTGCGACCTGGGTGCTGTGCTTTGGGCAGGGCAAGATATTCTAATATTCCGTGCACCCATACACACGTGTCTCTCTGTGAAGACGCACACCGCACAGAGGCACACAAGTGTCTTCCAAAAGAAACGTGCAGAAGGGGGGAGGTATTCTGAGGTATTCTGAGTATTAGATAACATGGCGTAATTAGGCGACAGCTCCGCGTTTTCCGTCTCTCTCTCTCCAGAAGAACTCGAGTAACTGCACCGACAGAGCCCTACAGAGAGCCAGGGCTCTGCTTTCACCCGGGGAGGCAGGAGGGGGGCGGGGCAGCTCTCTGAAAATAAACCTGAGCGAGAGAGACCATTCGACGGCGCAGGCAGAGCAGAGCGGAGCGGGCGCTCCGGAGGAGGACCGTCTGACTGACTGCGCTGCAATGGAATTAAAAACTGCGCAATTTCAAACCTCCGCCGCTTCTCCCAGCCCGGCTTGGGAAAACACCAGCCAGCAGGGCAACACCGGACGCCAGACCGAATTGGCATTCGGATTGGGTGTTTTTTTTTTAGAAAAAACATACTCTGCACTGGGATGCTTTGGGATTAACAAGATGACTCAACGGATGGCCGTGGATACAAGTGGGATCTATGTATTTTAAAAAAACCACAACGGATTGTGGATTTCACAAATACAATGCACAGTTTAAAAACAACAAGGGAGCCATGCACCCGTTCCTGTAAAAAGAGGTGTACACGTCCATGTTGATCCCAGGAGCGAAGCGCTGTGTAACATCCAGCTTGCGGGGCTGAGAGATGGAAGCGCTCTCGGCCGTCACTCGGATCGCGCACATACGTGTCTGTAAACAGACGTCTCGGAGGTGCTCGCTCACGCCGCGGACACGTCCCGCCTTGTGCATCCTGCGCGACTGCAGCAGGGGTGCGTTTCGGGGGCAATTCGCATTATATAATTTCTGAGTGCCTTTTCAGACTGCGTGGCCGTGCGTCTGTCAATCACGGCGGAGAGGAGATGCTCTTTTTTTTTTTTGGGAAGCAAAACACGCTGGGAGCCGTAACAGTTGGGGCAGCGATCGCGGCACCTCCCAGAGCGAGCGGGGACCAGCAGCAGGTAAGGGTTAATGCCGCGTCTGACTTCTGGGGGGGGTCTAGAAACTTTTTGCGTTATTATACGATTATTTGCTCCGTAATGGGTTTAAAATGTGCTTCCGTCTCGCGTCTGGTGAGCAGCAGGCAGTGCGGTCTGCCAGGACTGCTTGTAAAGATGTGCTCTGTCTGTAACCCCGCCACAGACGGTGCGGAAAACAGCTCGGAAATGTGTCGATGAAACCCTGAGAATTGTAACTTCAGGCTTTAAATAAAAAACGCAGTGGGATTTAAAAAAAAAAACCCTGCAGCGTGCACCTTCTTGCAAAAGGCCAGTTGGATCAATAAAGACGAAGATGAACTTTGTTTTTCTGCCGTAACTTGTGAAAAAGAAAGATCACGCCGAGGGCACTCCGTGACTGTGCGTGTTTTCCAGAATGCCTCTGTCTGTATTGAGATCTTTCCTTTTCCCAGGCTGGGGCTGAGCTCGTAGCGTCACGTTTACGAGCTTTACGGGAACCGTGTTATTGTAAAATGAGTGGGAGGTCTGTCACAATCTATGTGCTTCCAGAGGAAAATCCCACGTTTTCCTCCCCCCACACGTAACTTGTTCAAATCACGTTTTGGAAAGAGGTAGTACAGTGATTTTGCACGACTTGTTTCTCTTCTCGGCTCCCGAATTCTCTCTCTTCTTGTCCTCCGGAGAATCTGGGGCCTGATGGTGGGGAGGAGTGTCGCATTTGCTTTCTGGATGTCATGTGGTAGCATTGTGGCGGGTTTGCAGAATTTCCAGGAAGAGTATTTGAATTTTTTTTCATTTTATTTTTTTTTCGTCTCCCTCTGCCCTGTCCCCGCCTCCTCGTGTCTTGGGGTAGTGACGCAGGTTGTCCACCAGGGGGCGGCCCAGCCGCGTTTTAATCCAGATCTGAGCTCCAGCTTGAACTAGGAGTTGGCGATCTGGGTCCTGCAGGAGCAGGTTTCCTTGCTAGATTAGGTTTTATCGACCTAAATCAACACATTACTGGATTGTGTGGACCCCTCTACCAACTTCCCGGGCTCTGCCGCTGTACAGAGACCAAGAAAACCTGCAGACATCCGGTCCATTCATTGCAGTGTTTAGATAGACCAGGCACTCCCAGTGCTTTCAGCAGCCGCCTGGAGTCAAATTCTGTCGTGGAGGGGAAATGAAACTCTTCCCATTGTGTAGTGCTGACCTGTTCTGAGGATTTGTCCTCATTGAAAACTTAATTTCTGTCCCTGCGCTCATATCTATACATACTGTACTGTAAAAGCCATGAACTGAACCAGTAGTGGTGTTTTGTATGACTGAAAGCCTACATGTGAGAGATGAAGGTCCTCAGTCTTGTGCTAAGTGAGAGAGCCTGTTTGTAAGAGCAGTGGTGTCCTGGTGTCCTGTCCACACTCTCCTCTGGGGCTGTGCAGTCTGCTGTCCCCACAGTCCCTCGTCACTCCGCTGGTGCAGCAGTGTCCCCCTCCTCCCCCTGGCCAGGAGGGGGCAGCACTGCAGGGGTGGTCCTGTCCTGTATGTGAAGCCCCCGGAGATCAACTGGGATAAAAGAACTGTGTAAATGCCGGGAATAATGAGGAAATACTGACTTATTTCAATTGCTAAAAACGTCACACGAAACACTCCAGAACAATCTGGGGCTTGTTGGCTCGTCCAGGGCAGGGACGCCTGTGTTGCCACTCGACGTCCAGGGCAGGGGTGTCGGTTGTGTGCCACTCTCCCGTGTTTTTTTGTTCCTGGATGGTGTTTTTCCTCCCCTCCTGCGTGTGGGCATCTTTGGGTATTTTGATTGATTCTGAAAAATGACAGTTGCTATTAAAAACGGTACCAGGGACCCTTTGGTGAATATCAGTGCCCGGGACAGGATGGCAGGGCGAGGGAGAAGGACCCCTGCCCCACCCTCAGGTGCGCTTGCTTGCTCAGATCCGATGAGCTTGTCCAGCCATTTCACGAAGGATCGCTGGGAGGCAGCTCCTACTTCATGGCAGGGGCAGCCTGTGCCTGACACCTGCCGCCCTTTGTGTAAAGCTCTGCCTGCTGTGCAGCGTGGTCTGGTGGTCTCGTACACCGACCGCCAGGCGCCTTGCTGCAGTGCTGCAGATCAGATTCCCCTGGCACAGCAGGCAGTGACTCTCTCAGGGATGGTGCTCCGTGCCAAAGGGGGGCACTGTTTTACAGCAGATGGAGGATACCCTAACCCTGTACGACAAGCTAATGACAGAGCCCAGACCAGAACCGTCCGTGTCTGGTCGTCAGGGCTCAACCTGCGCTTTAACTGGGACACTGAGACAGCTCTTTAACTTCCCGCGTGCGATACTGTGCAGCAGTGAGATAGTGTTGCTGCCTCACAGCTCTTGGCGCCTGGGTAGGATTCTGGACCCAGGGCACCCTCTGAGTGGAGTTTGCATGCTCTCCCCTGGTTTTTGAGTGGGTTACATCCCCTCTTCTACAGACGTGCTGGGTCTGTAACTCAGGCCCGTGTGCTTCTATATTGACAAAATGTATGGTCACTTGCATTGTGGAGTGCCTTGGGGCAACCTTGTTGTGAAAGGCGCTATATAAAAATAAATTGACTTGAATTGTGTGAGCGCATGCTCCACAGCAGACGGCTGTCTCCGCCGGGGTATGGGCCCTCTTTGACCCTGGGTGTGACCCTCATCGGGAACGAGTGGCTTTCTGGTGCCGGTGCATGTGAGAAACCAGTGTATACTGGGATTCTTCCCCCTGTCTTGAGCGTGGACAAGAGAGCTCTCAGTGCTGCTGATGGCGAGAGGGGGAGAAGCCGTGGATAGCGGCGGCGGCCTCCGCACTGACCTCGCTATTTAAAAGCCATCCTCCCTGTTTCCACCTGCTAGATCTCTGCAAGTCACACGGAAATTCAGCCATGACTTTGTGAGGTAGGAGAAGACCCTACCTGGCTGGGGGGAACGTGCAGACTCCACACAGAAAGCCCCCTCGGGCTGGAACCGTGCCCAGGACCTGAGAGCTGTCAAGCAGCAACAATCACTGCCAGACCACTCGCACAGTCCTAATAATACCATTGCAAACCAGTAATAATAATGCAGGTGACACACAGGATAACACAGGACATCCACGGTTAGCCCTGATGCGGGCTGGGAAAGTCAAGAGCTCTCTTCCCTGGGGGCAGAGGCAGGAGTGATGTCCTGGGGTCAGTGAGTAGGGATAGATACAGGTGTCTCTCCCTGGCCAGACTCTGTACCCTGAGGATCTGGGTGGCGAGAGGTCACAGGCAGCATGGGTCCGGCTACCTGTGCACAGCCCTGCTCTCGCCACCCTTTGCCCCGAGTCTCGTGGGTGCTCCAGATCGAGCTCCGTGAAGGCTCGGAGTGAGAGCTCTTTTATCTCCCCCTGAAGGCATGCTCTTCCAGCACGCCGTTCAGCACTCTGTCTGGAGCGGAGCTGAGTACAGCACAGCACAGCGTGATCAGGGTGTGAACCGAGGGACATACGTGTGCAGGTGTGAATGTACTACAACAAAGCACAGCGGTTAAATGTTAGAGAGCAGTAAAACTTGCTAAAGCGTGACGATCGGAGCCGAAGTCCTGGAGAGAGCTCGGCTCCGCATGACCCTCGCTCTTGCCTGGGTGGGGCTGCTCTCGACGTGCTCGAGCTCCCTGCAAAGCTGCTTTCCTCCTCCGAGACTGGGAGAAGCACAAGTTCCACTTCGGCTTTGACCCCCAGGAATCTCCCGAGTCCCCTGGGCGCAGGCCGGGTGTACACCACACGTGCCAGTGTGTCGTGTCGGTGTTTGCAGCCATATCGCCCTGCAGCTCCCAGCTGGCAGCCCCACTGGAGCTCAGCAGGTGTGATCCTGGTCAGTACCTTGATGGGAGACCTGCTGGGAAAGCTGAGGCTGCTGCTGGAAGAGGTGTTAGTGGGACCAGTAGGGGGCGCTCACCCTGCGGTCTGTGTGGGTCCTAATGCCCCAGTATAGTGATGGGGATGTTATACTGTAAAAGGATGCCGTCCTTTGGATGAGACGTAAAACCAAGGTCCTGACTCTCTGTGGTCATTAAAAATCTCAGGGCGTTTCTGTAAAAGAGTAGGGGTGTTGCCCTGGTGTCTTGGCCACATTTCCCCCTGGCCTTTACCAGTCATGGCCTCCTAATAATCCCCCTCTCTGAACTGGCTTCATCACTCTGGTCTCCTCCCCACTGAGAGCTGGTGTGTGGGGAGAGTACTGGTGCATCATCCAGGTGGGGCTGCACACTGGTGGTGGTGGAGGGGAGTCCCCATTACCTGTAAAGCGCTTTGAGTGGAGTGTCCAGGAAAGCGCTTTATAAGAGTAAAGAATTATTAAATCTGAGGTCTGTTTCCTCTTATTTTTTGGCGCACAACTCCAGCGCCGATTAGTCTCATTAACATTAAAACACGGTGGGTACAGGTGTCACTCGGGGGTGTGGACTGGACACCGAGACAGACCCGTGGAGCTCTTTGGGGTTGGTCGAAGAACACACGAGTCTGCACGTGTGAAGGGATTTGCGGCGCTGTACTGCAGACCGTCCACAGGAGGGCGCTGTTCACTCGAGGACGGAATCTGCAGACTCGCAGGACGAGCAGCAGCAGCTGCTTTCCTTTCTCTCACTCTGCTGGGAGAGGGCGTGTGTCTTGCGGCACGGTTTCACTCATGAGATAACCTGTCAGGACAAAGCTTTCTGTCCCGTTTAGAAACTCTTACAATGCTTTTACCACACAAAAAATGATAAGTGAAGCCATGATGTCTGTATGGAATTGTTAATGTTATTGTCCACCAGGGGGCGGCTTCAGGCTGACTTTAATGAAGTGAATTGTAAAACAACAGCCATGCAGAAATATACAGTGTAGATTTGGAAACGCAATAGGAAATGGTTAATACAAGACACAGTGTGAGTGGCACTGAAGCAGCTGGTTCCAGTGGCCGGGGGAACGTGTACACTGGTCCGGTGGGTGGGTATGAGCACCAGCGTGTAAGAGCAGCTGATATTCAGTAACTGCATTGTGTTCAGTAACAGCTGGGGGATCGCGCTCCGAGGGCAGGAGCTCTTACTGGCCTGCGTCAGCCCGGTTCTGGTTTAACTGGGCCAATGGAACCGCTTATCCCTGCTCTGCACACCAGGCTGAAAAATCACATTCTAAAATACCAACACCTGACCCACAGGAGTGCCGACTAAGGTGCTGCTCGATATTCCAGTCTTTAAATTTGACATTTGCTTGTGTTTGGAAATTCACAGTGCGTGTGCGATAATTGAATATCAACAGTTCATCAGCATGTAGTTTTACAAGCATGCTGATGTCTTACTAGCACACAGATCTATTGAAAATACCCACAGTGTCTTATGGAGACCAGAGAAGGCAGAAATACACTTGCGTACTCTTTTTTATCAGGTGACTAACTTACTGTGTACTGTTACCAGACATATAGTGATCAGACAGAGTTCAGATAGTTCATCACGCGTAGAGTAACTGATGTTAGTAAGGACTTTGCGAGTAATAATTTTAATATTTCGGGGTGTATATTCTTAGATGATTGAAAATCTGAATTTATTCCTGCATTGCAATTGATTTTGTGTTCTGGATTATAAGTATATTTTTCCTTCGTTTACTTTTTATTGTGCTTTGTTTTATTTTTTTCTTTGTTCAAGATGTACAGGGTCCTTGGGATTGGAAAGGCGCTTTATGAATAATAGTTATTATTATTAATTTATGTTTCTAATTCCCAGATAAAGAGCTGGCCTCCCGGTGAGCCATCTCGCAAGGCTGTGGCGCAGAGGAGGGGGCGTGTGCCTTCTGACCAACCAAAGTGCACAGCAGCGGGGAGGCGGAGACAGCTGGGGGGGCTGCGGCCAATGAGAAGAGGAGGCGGGGCGAAGGGACCGGAAGGAAGAGAAGGAAACATGTCTTGTGTAAGGGGAATGAAAGAGGCGGGCTCTGCTCGCTCCAAGCCAATGGGAAGGAGAGCTGTCAGGCCCTTCTGCTGCTTAGAGGAGGCAAGAGGCAACATCTGCGGCCGGAGAGGTGAGTGGGATGCTGGTGCGTTCATCACAGCGTGTGTAGCGTGCTCCATCTGAAGTACATAGGAAATCGAAAGGGTGTAGTTCCACAGGTCTCATCTTGAATCTGACAGAATTATACCCCCTTTCACCTGTCAGAAATTGCAGAATGATCTACAGTAGGTAAATGGCAGACTTGGTGAATGTTCTGGCAAGATGTGAACTGAATTACTGGCATGCTCAGCTGGCCAGTGAGTTTGACAAGGTGAATCACTTTGTGTGTCAGTTTATGACTCTTGTGGTAGTTAAAGAGACCCGGCCTCAGCAGTCAGAGATCACGTAAGAGCAGCAACAGTGAGCTCAGGTGTCTTATATCCGAGCTGTCCCATTGGGAACGCAGGGAGGGAGGGTGTTTGGACTGTGCTGGGCCTGTGTCTAAGGCTGAAGCAGAAAGTCTGCCCTGCCCCTGGTTTGCAGGCCCAATCCAGCTTGTCCACGCCCCCAGCTGTGAGCCCCTATGGGTGCTGCACAGGGCCACGCAGGGCACCTAGTGTGCGTCTTCATCGTCATTGTCCAGGGAAGCATGTCCCCTGTGGTCCTGCTAGGAAGTAGGCCCACTCCCGTTGCTCCACAGCTGTTTGACCGGGCCAGCTCTCTGTGCAGACTCCCTGTGATTGGTGTTGCAGCTAGGAAACTCCTGCAGTGCTCCAGGACTGGGCCTGGGGACCCAGTCCTCTCATAATGGGTCATAACCTGCAATGGGTTCCAGTACCGATTTCTTTTATTTTTAAAGCTTTTCTGGGTAACAGGGGGAGACAACATCAATCTGTCATCGGATATCGTCTAGAAATGATCACATTCGTTGTGGTGGAGGAGCTGGATGATTTATTTACATGTGGTTTCTTGGACCGGCAGGACACCTTGTTACTGCTGTGGTAGCCCAAGCTCAGATCCAGCTTCCTTTACCTTGTCAAATCGCCCGGGTCTTGATCGTTTTGTGCAAAAAAAAGCCGGATTCCGATGTGCATGTGCCCGTGAGGGGGTGGTTTAATAACCCTCTCTGCCGCCCCTGTGTTTCTCCGCTCTGCGTTCTGTCACCTGAATTCTGTCACCGCCCCGTGTGTGTGGAAGTGTTGGCCACAGTCTCACTCTTCAGGTTTTCCACCTGGAGCGTTTAGCACCGGGAGCTCCAAGTGAGAGGCGGGCTTTGGAGTGATGCTGTAGCAGCAGTATTGAGCAGCAAGCGGTAAGTGGACATTTGAAAAAGGACGAGGGCAGTGGCTTTCTGGGAAGGGTCAGGGGCTGGCCTGCGTGGGGGAGCTCGCCCAGTCTTGGCTGTCTTGGGTTCAGGATGTGCTGAACTATTCAGGCCCATCGGCTGCTTT